GAAAACCTAGATTGATTAAGTTAGTGAGTTTCTTTGCCGTTGATCTTTACCATTACCCACTAAAGTTGGAGTTCATTTAAATGATAATGGGCAAATAGATAAAATTCATTTTTTTGCCAGTATTTTATACTATTTTCAACTGATAACAGGTTTAAATAATGCCGAAAAGCCTAGCTCTAGCATCCTGAGCCCACCCAAGCCTTCTATATGTTAGTTTTATAAAAGGCCAAAATTTCTCTACCGTATGTACTCAATCAAAACATATAATTCAGCATCTTAACGAACTAGTTTATATTCATAGTTGTTCACTGATGACAGCATGAGTTGATGTCAGAAGCTGATATCTTATTTACCAAATTGTCTGAAATTGATCTCTTAGAAACACTCGTGGTCCATTTGCCACTACAGTTATGTGTGTTGTAAAGAGCTATGGAGTAACTAATTCACACCCATACTAGTGGCTATATTGATTAACTTCAGGAGGAAATCCTTTTAACGAAGCTAAACTATGGAGGATTAGGCTGTGAAAACAGTCGGCGTTAGGTAGGCGCTATTTTTGAAAAAAATCTCGTATATAAATAGGTTTTTGAGACTACCAGTAGATCATATATATGAAATGTATTCACTCTATTTCGTTTAAAGTGATGAAAGATTGGTAGTTTCTGGTTGAGATACATCTCATACATAACTCTACAATTTGTCTCTGAGTGATACCGTTTGTGGGCTCATGACAAGCAATAACTTAGTCACATTTCCACTCAGGCTCGATGATGTCATAAAGTCAAAATATTTGCGCGTATTTAAGGGTTTTCTTTGAAATCATACTTCTAGTATGGTCCGAATTAATAACGTCACGTGAAGGAATGCGAACTTAAGAAATAAGTGAGCTTAACAACCTTCATGGCTGTCGGAAGACATCACTAAAGCAGTTCTGTACATCTCGGTCGATTCCGAAGGTAGATCTGATGGAAACACGCCAACCTCGGCCTCTGCTTTGGGACTTTTGTTTGAATGTTTCTTGTTTGGTTGTCCAAAATGATCTTCTGTGGTCAGCAAGACATACTCTGCCGGTTTCTTTACATGCGGTAGATGAGCTACTCTGTGTGAATCTTCATTAGAATTAATCATTTTTGGCATTTGAGGAGCCGAAAACGGCAAATGCGTCTGCGGAACCTCAGTTTCTCCTGCCTGAAACCGATGCCGAAGAAGAGGCCTTATCCAGGGCACATCAATTTCACATTTTTGTTGATTGTCTACATGTTTTACTACTCGAGCTTCCTGACTTTTAGACCAACAATGCTCGCTTTTCAACTTGGGCTTGCCCGTTTGCTGGTGTTGGGCATAAGAATTAAGGGCGAGCCCATGCGTGAGCATTTCAGCACATTTTTCAACTTTTCTCTTTTGGATGGAGGTGTTTTCATAGTGCCTAGAGACATTTTGCCTGTTGCAAGCTTCCTCGCGCAAGATCGGTTCTCTGGACTGTGCTTGGCGACTCGTTGGGGAGCCTAGGCATCGTGGAAGCAGCGACCGCTGATCTGGGCGA